GTTGTTTGCTTAGTTTGTTTTTGTTTTTGTTTTAGGTGTGGTTGTTAATAACTGTGAGTTTGTTGTCATTTTATTGTTCATATTTTTTATCTTTTTCTTAGATAAGTCCCTTTAACATTTCATATAATAAGGGCTTGGTGATGATGAACTCCTTTAACTTGACCTTATCTGGGAAGCACTTATCTGCCCTTCTATTCTAAATGAAAGCTTTGCTGGATAGAGCAATCTCTGATGTAGGTCCTTGCCTTTCATGACTTGGAGTACTTTCTAGACCCTTCTTGCCTGTAAGGTCTCTTTTGAGAAATCAGCTGAGTCTTATGGGAACTCCTTTGTAGGTACCTCTCTCGTTTTCTCTTGCTGCTTTTAAGATGCTGTCCTTATCTTTAATCTTGGGTAATGTAATTATGATGTGCCTTGGTGTGTTCCTCCTTGGGTTCAACTTCTTTGGGATTCTCTGAGCATCCTAGACTTCATGGAAGTCTATTACTTTTGCAGATTGGAGTAGTTCTCCTTCATTATTTGTTCAAGTAAGTTTTCCATTTCTTGCTCTTCCTCTTCTCCATCTGGCACCCCTATGTTCCAGATATTGGAACATTTAAAGATGTCCTGGAGGTTCCTAAACCTCTCCTCATTTTTTTTGAATTCTTGTTTCTTCATTCTGTTCTGGTTGAATATTTCTTTCTTCTGGTCCACACCATAGATTTGAGACTGGTTTCCTTCCCATCACTGTTGGTTCCCTGTACATTTTCCTTTATTTCACTTAGCATAGCCTTCATTTTTTCATCTAATTTGTGATCTACTCAACCAATTCTGTGAGCATCCTAATTACCAGTGTTTTGAACTGTGCATCTGATAGGTTGGCTATCTCTTCGCCACTTAGTTGTATTTTTTTTTCTGGAGCTTTGATCCTTTCTTTCATTTGGGCCTTTTTTTTTTTTTGGTCTGGGCACACCTGTTACACAGTAAGAGGCAGAGCGTTAGGTGTTCACCAGGGCTGTATGTGAGGGAGGGGTCTGAGAGTGAACAATGTTGCTTGCTCCACTGTCTGGTTTTCAGTCAGTTGCCCCACTACCTATAATCAAACTGGATCCTTCTGGTGCTGATTCCCAGGTGGGTGGGCTTGTGTACATTCTAGGACCCTGTGGGTCTCTCCAGTGAATTCTCCTGTGAGGCTTGGAGTTTCTTGCACTGCTGCCTCAACCCCTGCAGGTATTTTTAGTCAGAGGTTTGAGGCTTTATTTTCCAGCATTAGAACCCTGGGTTTTGAGGTCTGCCTCACTCCCCAGTTGTTCCTTCTGGTTTATCTGTACCTGAATATGGGACCACCCAGTCTGCAATCTGCCACCTCACCGAGTCCACCTACAGCAGCCTCACCTAGTCCATTAGCTGCCGTCTTGCTGCGAGTTATCTCTGCCCACCTGTTGGTCTCCGCCACTCCTACTGGTCTGGATGAATGTTTCTTTTTTAACTCCTTGGTTGTTGGACTTCCATACAGTTCGATATTCTGGCAGCTCTGGTTGTTTTTTGTTTTTAAATTGTTGTTGTCCTTCTTTTGGTTGTGCGAGGAGGCACAGTGTGTCTACCTATACCTCCATCTTGGCCGGAAGTCCAGGACATGTTAGATTAAGGTGAAGAACCAAGGATTACATGAGCAAATAGATTTTTTTTTTGCCATGTACTGAAATGAGAAGGACTTGAAGAAGAGTGAGCAGTCTTTGGAGGTAAAAATAAAGGTTTCTGTGTGGACAAAGTTAGGTTGAAATGCTTACTAGAGATTCAAGTGAAGATGCTGAATAGGTAACTGAATAAATGAATGAGGAGATTGGGGAAAACTTGCAGGCTGAAGATATAAATAAAATCTATATGCTGGATTAGATCACTTAGGAGACTGAGCGATTGAGGATAGAGGAGGACCAAGGGCAAAATCTTGGGATATTTCAGGATGTGCAGTGTTGTCCGTTCCCCCACACTGCCCATCACCTTTGCAGCTAGAAAGGGTCATGTGAATACTGGGGACAATGAATAGAGGAAGTATCTAAGAACTGCCTCAAGATGCCCATTCTTATCTCTTGCCCCAGTAATTATGAATCCACATGTTCACATCAACGTGTCTGTCAACCCTAGCCTCCGGTGACTACATCATGGAGAACAGCCCCTTTTTGATATATGTCATACACATAGCATGAAAGAACAAAATTCTATGTGTCAAACCATAAACATTTCAGGGTTAATTTGTTACCTCAGCATAGCTGGGCCTAGCCTGACTGATTCAGAGTTCTACCATATGAGGTACCAAAACAAAGCACATTTTTCATTTTTTAAAAAAGGGCATATGTGATTTGACATCTTTTCAACAAAAGTATATCAGTGGTTATTTCTAGCTTCTATCTAAATTAAGTTTAAATGAACTCCCTGTTTATTTTATAAGCCAAAAAACAATCTCTAAAACATTGTAAATATTGCAGGATAATGTCAATTCTTTCAAAGATCTGCATTTCTCACCCCATCACCACTGATTTTTTAAGTCTATGAAGACATTTCTCAGATAATTTTTAAAAATGAATATTGGTGCTTTATAATTTCCTAAATTTCTCCTAAAGCGATCCTTTCCCATTTTATCTGCTACTTTTAGATGTATGATTCACTTGACAAATTGATCACAACAGATATTCTTTATTCGTTCATTTAACAAATTTTAATTGGGTCCTTACTGTGTTTCAAACATTTTGATAGGAGCCAGGGAAATAATGAAACAAAGCAGCACTTACCCTTACAGCTATAGTTTGGATACTTATCTGGGGTCAAACTCAGATCTTGAGAGCTGGATTTCTGCATTTGTAAAATTGAAATAATTGAGAGCTTGCAGAGTTACTGTATTAAATATGACAAAGTGGAAGGCTGTTCTTAGTTAGGCTTTAGAAATGCACTCAGGCCGCTTTAAATAGAAAGGGGTTTTATTGTTAAAACTAGAACCTACAAGCTATTCAGTACTAGGGCATCTTGAGGGGCCAGGGACAGGAAATCTCTGCATTACTCACTGTGTCTGCTTCTGTCTGTGTGTCTAACTGGTTCCTTCATTATCTTTGCTGGTCCTTACCCTCTATGAATCTGTTGTAGAGGTTGTATTATTTGTGATTTCTCTTTCTTCATTGCTTCAGTCTACATGCTCTTCATACCTCTAACTCTGTTTCATAGTTTTTATGCTTTCTTTCTGCTTTAGTTTTTACAAGTAACTCCCTAATTAATTTCATTTTTATAGGTCAAATTTCCAGGAGAACCTGTTGGACTGGTTCATTCATTCAGTCATTCAGGATATAGGTATGGAGTACGTGCTATGTACAGGCAGCATACCCTCATGGTAACGTGGGTCCCAGTGTTAGAGCTCTGTGAATGATCTTTCCATCCTCATTCTAAAAATGCCTCCCGTTTCCCTGCAAGCTTATTAGAGATGATGAATTTGGCCCCCATTCCAGGCCTACTAAATTGGAGTCAATATTTTAACAAGATCCCCAGGTGATTTGTGGAGCTTGAAAAACATTGCTTTAAACTTCTAGATCTTAAAACTGGGCACACATTGGAAACAGCTGAGAATATAAAAAATTGCTAATGCCTGGGTGCCTCCCACAGAGGTTCAGATTTAATTTTTTTCTAGGACATAGCCTGGAATTCAAAAGGTAGACAGTTCAAACATGTAGGTAGGTTTGAGAATCTCTGAATTAGTCCTGTGTTGCCACTGACCAACTGTGAGCTTAAGACAAGTTGATTAATTTCTCTCTGCTAGACTTGTCATCTTTTAAGTGGAAATCATATAGCCTATCTTGTCTGCCTCAGAGTTTTCAGAGGGCCAAATGGGACTATAAATGTAAAATTGCTTTGATATGTGTGCCATGCTTCACTTAAGTTCTTTAAATCCATCTCTTGTATTTCACGGGGGATTCAATGAACCAAAATGCATAATTAAATATGAGAATGTAGGTAAAATAATGCATAAAGACAATGTAAAGTTCATATTGTAAAGCTTTACCAATGTAAAGCGAACACTTGTCAAGCTTAACCTGTGTCATGGCTGCTGTTATCCCATTTTACCTATCATGCAATTGAGGGTTCAAGAGGTTATGGAACTCTCGAAAGGCCCTGAAGACTGTTAAAGAGAACTTATTCACTAGATGCCTTAAAAACAAAACAAACAAAACAGCGGGAGTGGGGAAGACTCTAACCAAGACCACCGAAGCAGAGGTCAAGACTATTACTATGGGGAAAAGGATTTGTATCAACTCCAGATACAATGGGTCCAGTGCAGATTTATTGCCAGGGGCCAGGGTGAGAGACAGAATGGAAAATTACTAAGAGGAACTTGGTTAGATATAAAGGGTCAATGGAAGAGGAGCTTGATTTGAAATCAAGGGTGGAAGGAGTGGTCATATATCAAGGGTAAGGGGAGTTTTGATAAACTGGCTTCGCAGGATTCTTTGGGAAAATTCCTCTCAGCAGGCCAAGGATGAGGCCTAGCCTAGAAGAGAGCTCAAAAGACCCCGACTGTAGTTTGCTCCAGAAACATGCCTGTCAAGGCGGTGTTAGGGGCTGAAACTGGGTGGTCTATGTTCACACACCTTGCTGACCCTACAACTCTCGTGTCCGTGTTGGACAGCTAAACCTCGTATCACCCAATTTGTCTACAGCTGTACACCCACAAAGTCAGACTACTTGGCTGCACTCCAGCCTCAAATCAGATTGACCCCAAATCTGAGCGTTGGTTCCCTTATCTGCACTGCACCTCCAAGATACCAGTTTGCTCGGGTAAGAATCATTTCCACTGCGGGCTGCAGGGCGGGCCCACACGCACCTGCTGCGCACCAATCACGGGCTCGCGCGCAGGGTCGCAATACACGGCCTTGGGTGGGGCCTCAGCTCTCACCAGTCTCCTTCGACCTGCCGACCTCCCACCGTCCTGATTGGCCTTCCGGAGATGACGTAGGAGGCCGCCTCAGCTACTGGCCCCGGAGCGGGAGGGCTGGCTGGGTTTGGCGGAAGTGGTGTGGGCGAGGTGAACCCGCAGTGCAGAGAAGCGGATCAGCGCGATGGAGGGGTCGGCAGCAACGACGCGCTTCGCTCTGATGATTGTCCGACAGTGAGTATTGCTGTCGCAGTGTACCTTTCTGTTCTCGTCATTGAATGCATTTTGGAGTGGGTGTAGGGATGTTGGTCTGTCATCCCTTCTCCCTTCTTGCTCACCCCTCGGAGCAAGGGGGGATTGGACGAGGGATTTTGTAGGTGTTCTCGTACTTGCTGGTTCATTTCGACACCTCCTTCCCCAACCCACACCCACCCCGCCCCCAGCCACCTCCAACCATCCGGAGCCAGGGAGGCAAGTGTTAATATCATCAGCCCTGTGTTATAAATGGGGAGAGTGAGGTCTAGGTGAGTAAATGGTCGAAGTTCCCAGCCACTTTGGTTACAGAACTGCAGCTGAAGAAAGACAACTTAGTCTCCACACTTCTCTGTGCACCGTTTTGGTTCCCAGCAAATTGCGAAGACTGCGGAATAGCTAGTCCGAGACTGATATTTTTGATGCTGACTGCTTTCATCCATTCTCTCCCCGTCTCTCCAGTTCTTCCTCGTTTCCCGCTCCTTTGCACCAGGCAGTCAGTCCCACAGACCGGTTTCTAAGGTTTATTTCTTCCCTCCAGAGGCTACATTACTGGAAGAGGAAAAAGGGATCCCGCCCTCGTCTCAGCCGACCACTTCCCCCCAAACTAACATTATAATAACGTTACATGGAGCTGATTGCTTATGTCTTTATGTCTCACCTTTTTCTTTCTCAACACTTATTTGTCTGGTGTTAATAGGAAGTGAAATTTCCTATGGTTAAAGGCACAGATTTTTTAAGCAAGAGAGACCTTGGTAAGAATCTGAGCTCCAGCTACAAGCCTTGCAACCTGGTCTTCTGCTAACCGACTTACCTTTCCGACCTCAGTTTCCTGATATATAAAACGGGGATAATAATAGTACCTACCGCACTGGGTTAGTGTGAGAATTAAATGCGAGCAAGGTAAAGTGTATAGCACAATGGTGGGGAAGAAATATATCTGAGAAATAACTTCTCTTTCTATAAAGAGAGCTCCAATAAAATGCAGTTAATCCTCTAATACCTATGTATAGTTTATCAGAGCAGCATTTTGAATAGGTACTATGTGCCAATGGACTGGGTTACGTAAATAAATAAGATGTCATTTTTAACTTCATGGAATTCACAAGGAACACTAATATGATTCAACCTTGTCAAGCTGACTTTTAACTGCTATCTGTTCTGTCCTATTCTTCTTTTACAGGAAGATATAATCTTGGGAATAATCTGAAAGTGTCCCTTTAGGATTCACAGGACTTTAACAACTAAACCTAGAAGTCGAATTCTTCTCTATCTCTTCTTCTTTACCCTCTTCATTGGTAGAATACTTTACTACCATTTTATGACCTATTTAAGTTTATAAGCTAATCAGTAGCAAAACACAAATTAGAAGCCTGACTCTTCCAATGTTAGAGCACTTTCTGGCTGCTCACACCCAGCCAGCACAGTGTCTGGCATATAAGTGAAACTCAGAAGTTGTAGGAAATCTGGGTTAAAAGGCCTCTCAGAAAGTCAGGTGATCCCTATTGAGATCCTTAATAAAGAGTAGTTATACCAATGTGGATTTTATCCCCTCCCTGATTCTTAAAAAAAGGCTTGATTTTTTTTAACTAACTCCTCACAGGATTTCTATAGAAACCAATTAAAGAATGTCTTAATAAATGATGTCAGGCACAGTTGTAATGAAATTCTAACAACAATCCAGTGAGGTAAGGATTGCTTCTCTATTCGCAGATAAGGAACTGAGATGCAGAGGGCATGTAACTTGCTTAAAGTCACATGACAGTTTGGAGAGGTGGGATTCGAACCAAAGCAATGTGACTCTACAGCCCATATTCTTAACCTCGGTACTCTTCTGCATCCTGTTTTGCAGAGTTGCTTAAAGCCCTAGTATTTGTAGATTGCTTGAATATCACCAGGCATTTTAAAGGCTACTTTTTATTTCTCTTAATATAATTGTGAATAATGATAAGAATAGTTGTTTTATTCTGTTTTATTGTGGGAAAGTAGGATTATGGTAAGCTGCTTCCCTGCCTGGACCATCTCTCTTTTCTCCTTCAGAATTTTCAAAGCTAAGAAGTGACGAGTCTTTCAGGAAAAATGATTTAAAACTTGATTGATAATCACTATCATTAAATATAGTAACTCTTATTGGAATCAGCAGGATTGGATCATTTAGCATAATCCTGGGAAAGGGCACTTGAGTTTTCTGTCACCTAATTCTGTATAACCGATAAGATAGTCAAATACCTTGAAACTGATGGCATGATCAATATTTTTTGAGTTGGATAATTTTATTGAACAGTGCCTCTTCAGGTAATACAAATAAGTCCACCCACATCCTTTATGAATCTTGTGCTGTTACTATGTGTGTGTTTTCCTTTCTTCATCATGTATTTGGGAGGAAAAGTACCTTGTGTATCATTTTTGGAATAGAATGCCCAAGATTTCAAACTTTAAATCTACTAATATTAAACTGTAAGTTCCCATGATTTCATAGCATAGCATTGTTGAAAACGCCAGTGTGTATAGGCATTTCCATCACCTACACAATAGATTGGAGGTCCTAGTTCCCTTGAAACATTATTTGTAGATGTTTGCAGTCAGTTGCCTGCAGACCATTCATTTCACTTTCATTTAAAACTAGCTCTTAAAACTTAACGTGTTTTTAACAAGCTAAATTTAATTCACTTTAATGACTGAAAGATGGTGCATTAGTAAAGTTATTGATAGCAAACCTGATGTTTTTCTTCCTCTGGCAGTAGTTAGCTTACTTTTTGTTGGGTGCTGAGCATTGTTCTAGTCTTTTTAAAAAAACAAGCAAAAATAAATATTAAATCGTCTGTAAACTTTTATAAAGGTGACATATAATTGTTATGTTACTGTGATACTAGTTTCCTGGGAGTGGGCTTGATCCTAGCCTTTGCACGTAGGACTAATCTATATATATGCACAAATATTATCATGAATTAGTTGGGTATTACTTTCTTTTCCCTCCAGACATCTAGGGAAAGTCTCCATGTTACTAACCCTTGAAATCTTCTATACTTTCAAATGGATTAATTGGTGTAATATCAGGTGAGGCTGTACATTTCCATGTATGCTACAGTGTATCTATTTTGAAAACTTGCCCCACATGTATACTCATTTCCTGTGATTTCTTTCTTTCTCTTGTGGCACACTGTGTGCTTGACTGTTGAATCTGAATTCTTTAAAAGGATATACTTGGGAAAGTAAGCTTTCTATATGATTTCTGAAGAAATGCCATAGAATATAAACCAGGACTAACAAGGTCAAACACCTTTAAGTGAAGAACAGTGTAATAATCTACAAAATGAATGATGCCTATTTGTGGGGCCTATAAATGTCTGGTCATAAGACTTCACTTCTTGGCAGAAGCATTTGGATTCCTGCAGAGTTGAGTGGTGTGTTTTGGAAATGGATCACACTGCAGATTTTGAGTGGTGTTATTCCTGACTCCTTCAAAATATATTCCTCTGACCTTTCAGCTCCCTTCACCTTTTCTGCCTCTGTCACAAGCCAAACTTTGATTAAAGGAAGCAGATTAATAGCAAAACTGTTTTAGTCACCTAGTTTTCTTTCCCACTTCCCAAGCTAGATACAGACCTCTTGATAAAGCTGATAAAAGCTATAAACCTAAATACTTACAGATGCTTTTAGAAAGAAATTATATTTCTATATTCCTACTCTGTTATATTTATAAAGTGATTTGAAGGCAGCGATGATCAGTAGAATGCCAGTGATTGTTAATAAAGCAGTAACGTCTACAGCAGTCTCTGTTGACTTACAGCTAAATGAAATCCTTCCTTATATCAGAGCTATTTTTTCTCCTTTCACTAAGGTAGTGCCATTACAAAACTGTCAAAGTACTTGGTATTCCATTTTTTGTGGGATGACATTTTGATGATATAATTTTTTATCAAATCAGCTATTGAAATTAAATTAAAAATCCTGAGCTGTTTTTTCAGCAAGCATATAAAAAGTTATCATCTCTGCTGAACTTCGTGATTTTGTAGAGACCTGGACTGGCAATATTTAAAAATTTTTCCTCACCCTTAATTTAAAATTTATAAAATGAATGAGTCTGTGATCCACATAGATCGGCAAAACCTTTTAAAATTTCTGTATAAAAGTAAATATGGGATGAGGGTGCTTCTTTGAATTCTGCTGGAAATTGAATTTGGCTACAAAGCCACTGTCTACAAAGCAACAAAGAGAATGTAATGTGTTTAAATAGCAGTTCTTTCATTCTTGGTCTCAGCAAGATTATGAAGCTGAGACAAAGTGAATCCAGTGTTTGAGAACCATTTTCTGTATTAGAAATGACAGTGCGCCTGTCATTTCCCTGGATGTTTTCATTCATCTGAATGGTTACTGTCCTCTTTCACATCCATTTCAAAAGATTTTGAGTGTATTTCAGAGAATAAGAAATCTTTCATTAATGTTAATAACCATGATAATGGTAAATCAACAGTAAATAGTTCTGTGTAATTTCATTTACTTGTCATATACTTTTTAAAAAACTAATAAATTGACATATTTAGAAACAAAACAATTCCTAGGCTTCCTGTTCTTACCCCGTAGATGACCACATTTATTAGTTCTTTGTGTAGTCTTCCAGTGTTTCTTTGTTCACATCCAACTGTTTATTCTTGTTTCCCTCCCCTCTGTAATGGTGGATTTTAAAAATCTGCACCTTGCTTTTTCTACTTAATGATATATGTTATTTTGGTGATATTCCATATTGTTACATAGTCTTTTTCTTTTTGGGGGACACAATTACATAGTATTCCATTATGTAGATATACCAGTGTTTATTTGTCAATGTAACCAGTTCCCTGTTAATGGACATGTAGTTTATTTAGCATCTTTGCTATTAGAAATAATACTATAACAAGTATTCTTTTAAATATAGATGAATACAGGTTCAGTAATAGGGTTGCTGGGTCAAAGGGCAAACGGATTTGTCATTTTGATGGATA